ATTGAGTTTTCAAATATTATGTATATAGCTGAAGTAACTATACATGAACTTTTATTACGTTAGGGAAGCCCTAAAAGGCCTATCACCGTGGGTTGTGTGAATTTTACTGTATTCACTGAGACTATTACCGTAACTTTTATTGCGATAAGAACCCTCTAACAGCCCTATCACCGTGGCTTGTGTGAGTTTAACTGCATTCCACGAGGCTATTAGCTAAGTTTTGATTGCGTTTAGAACGCTTTTAACGGCCTATCAACGTGAGTTGTGTGAATTTTATTATATTCCCTGTAAGACCCTATCAACGTGGGTTTTGTGAGATTTACTGTATGTGTTTCTGAGGCTATCACTGTGGGGTTTATTGCGATTAGAACCCTCTAAAAGGCCTTTTAACGTGGGTTGGGTCAGCCAGCTTTACTGCATTCTATGAGGTTATAACAGAGAGATTTGTTAGGTTAAGAAACCCTTAAAAGCCAATCACCATGGGTTGTTTGAGTTTGACTGTATCCCCTTAGGCTATCATCGTGGGTTCTATTGCGATAAGAACCCTCTAAAAGGTCTATCACTGTGGGTTGTGTGAGTTTAACTGCATGCCATGAGACTGTCACCGAGGGTTTAATTGAGTTAATATTGTGCATAAAGACCTATCTCAATTAAGTGTGGGAGTTTTACTGCATTCCGTTAGGATCTCACGATTGGTTTTATTACGTTAAGAAGGTATGGGTTGTGTAAGTTTGACTGTATTCCCTGAGGCTATCACGGTGGGTTTTATTGCAATAAAGACCCTCTATTAGGCCTGTCACAAAGGGTTGTGTGAGGTTTACTGCAATTTCTGAGGCGATCACCGAGCGTTTTATTGCGTTAAGAAGGCCCTAAAAGACCTATCACAGTGGATTGTGTGAGTTTTACTGTACTGTAATCCCTGAGGCTATAATCGTGGGTTTTATTGCGAGAAGAACCCCCTAAAAAATTGTGTGAGCTTAACTGTATTCCATGAGGCTTTCCACAAGGTCTTTATTACATTAAAACCCCTATAAAAGCCCTATCACCGTAGGTTTTGTGAGTTTTGCTGCATTCCTTGAGGCTATCACCGTGGGTTGTATTTCGATGAGAACCCTCTAAAAGACCTATCAAGGTTGGTTGTGTGAGCATTATTGCATTTCATGAGGCTATCACCGAGGGTTTTATTGCATTAAGAACCCCCTGAAAGGCCTACCACCGTGGGTGGTTGAGTTTTACTGTATTCCCTTAGGCTATCACTGCGGGTTTATTGCGATAAGAACCCTTTAAAATGCCAATCCCCTTGAATGGTGTGGAATGGTGTGAGTTTTATTGCATTCCACGAGGCTATCACCTAGGATTTTATATTACATGTAGATGATTTTGACGCAGAGGAACATGGTCTTTAGTTAGCATTTAATACCAGTGAAATTGTATTTAGGGCACTTAAATGTAACCGTTGGCATTAAGCTCAGTATTTGCTGTTGTGGCTGCTGCTGCTGCTGCTGTTGTTGTTGATGATGATGATGATTGGCCTTTTGTACATGAAATGTCATTTATAATAATTGCAAAGCTGTTCATCTTGTACATTATTAGTTATAAAGATTTTTGACAGGTTATATGGCCCTAAATAACCGGTTGTTTGTAAATATAACCCGAGCCGCTAGGCGGCCATATATACGGTCATATAACAAGTCAGAAATATTTACAACGAATATATAATACAGCAAGCATCACTTTTAGGGGAAATAAGCGAGATTTCTTTATAAATCGACAGCAGTCGTGTATGTAAAACTATATAAACGTCATGATTATCCAATGAAAAGCGACGTTACAAACGTGCAGTATTATAAGAATGTTATTGCATTGCACAGGTCCCTCACCGCTGTAGGTTCGACCTAACTCGGGTCGAAATCTTTCATGTGAGGAAGCCATCCAGCTGGCTTACGGAAGGTCGGTGGTTCTACCCGGGTGCCCGCTCGTGCCTGAAATAATGCCCGGAGGGTCACCTGGGGTCTTCCTCCACCAATTAAAGCTGGGAAAATAATCGACGAGAAAGTCTCGGCGGGACGCTCTAGGATGGCCCGACTTGAGTGTACGGTCGCCGATATGGGCTTTCCGGCGGCGACCTTAAATAAACGCATTAAAAAAATGAACAAATCATTGATATGCGTATACCCTTATTTGCATTGGAATTTATAGCCCATGAACGACCAAGCATGCTAAATTGGAGACTGTTTAAGTGTTGTTCTTTTATAATTTTTTTATTTTCATTTATAAAATACAAAACTCGAGCCTCCGTGGCCGAGTGGTTAAGATCGTTGACTTCGAATCAATTGTACGACAACGCTATGAATTTGAATCTCGCCAGGATGCGTTTGTTGTGAGGAAGCTGATCAGCTATCTTACGGAAGGTCGGTGGTTCTACTCAGAAGCCCACTCGTGCCTAAAATATTGCACAGCGTGGCATCTGAGGACTTCATTCACCACTTAAGCTGAAAAGTCGCCATATGACTATCATACTGAAAATGTGGCTTCAAACACAAACAAATGAATTGTACCTAAATTCCGCAAGAAAGGTATTTATTTTTATATTTATTTTTATATTTATATATAAATATCCTTTATATATATATTTTATATGTATATATAAATATTATTTATATATTATATTTTTAATGACTATGTGATTTAATTTCAATATTTCAATACTAAATATTGGTTTATAAATGCAAATTTACTCGCGAAGTTGACTGAAGTGGTTATGTAGCTAAAAAAAGAGAGGTGTCGTTTGTCGCTGTTTTAATGACTTCTTTGCAAATACGTAGATAAGTAGTGTAGAGTTAAATTATCACTTCTTATCGCTATGTGGGCATGACGGTGACGGTGACATATCCGGTTTCCGTACTCGATAGCGTATATAGTCATTTTTGTGCTTTTTCGTATGTGTGAATGAACTCTAGTCTAGAAAACATTGCATATAGCATTCAATCAGCTTGAACGAACCCGTGGTCCAGTAAAAGTGCACTTGTGTAGTGATTACTCTGCCGTCGCAGGTTCAATTACCCGTTCCACCGCTAACAACACTACGAAATTATGTTTGTTGTTTGTTTGAGTTCATTGTGTGTGTGTGTGTGTTTTTTTTTTTTTTTTTTTTTTTTTTGTTTGTTTGTTTGTTTGTTTTTTTTAAACCGAGGCACCATGTACTGCTGTTCTACACCGGCATGTTAGACAAGCTGGGTCGCAGGAATATGGCATCTTCTTTACAAAATATTCTTTAATTGCCATTGCAGATGTCAGCATTCAAGAGAGAATGATCCAAAAATAAATAGATATATTACAACGACAAAGAAAACACCAACCCACACACACATGCACATACACATAATAAGTTTACTGCTATTATGCTAGTTGCATCAGTAACCTAAAATGATGTGATTAAAGGCTTACAAAAACATTGTGAATTTAAAGGCTTACAAAAACATTGTAAATTTAAAGGCTTACAAAAAACATTGTGAATTTAAAGGCTTACAAAAAGATTGTGAAATTATATTACTTGTAAGCACAGGTTCACATATAGCACAGATTCTCGCATAATTAATAACTAAATTGATACTCTTGAAAAGATTTATTGTCTTTTGTTGTTGTTGTTTTTTTTGTGATACCGGCTATAAAACCTACATATTTCAGAGAATGCATTTTAAACAACTAATCATTATAGACATTTTGATAAATCTATGAAAAGCTCAACTTCAAACGGTGAACGATGATAGTTTTCAATACTTATTTATTTTAAGGTAAAGGGAAATAACCATTACAGTTTTAGCGAGTTCGATAAATGACTTGTCTTTCTTGGTTATTTGTAAAACATCGTGATACGAAAACAATTCAATTTCGTAATTATTAAGTAGCGTAATTTCGCACAGTTCTTTGACTATCTGACCGTATCTGCAATCATTCTTATATCGCGGAATCCTTATAGAACACCCAGAACGGTAGAATTGAAAATATTACAGTAACAGGTTCAGTTTGATTGAGAGGCTTGTTAATGGACGGTAAAGGTATATGTAAGCTTGCGTCCATGCCCCGTAGCACCGACACAGGCAGAATTGATCTATGATACGAGCCGATGAGTAATTCTTACTTTGATGTGTCACATCTTCGAAAATAAGGCGTGTGCGTACGTAACTAAATTGTTAATTCATTATAAAAATAAATGTATATACGAATTATGTACTGATGAATTATGTTTATAATAAAATAGTAATGATATGAATGGGAATGACTATGATACTAGTTATCATGATGATGATGATGACAATGGCGATTTGATGACAATGCCGGATGATTTTATCATGTTTGTCAACGGATTAATGACAGTGAAAATGAGAGAAAAACGCACTACATAGTACTTTTGTTTCAACAAGTCATTTTGGTTTCAATAATAACTATTTGAAACATTAATTCATTTTGGTTTTTTTTATAGTGTATTTTTGTTTTCTTGCGGTCTATTTGATATGATGTTGAAAATTTGCAAAAATTATGGCGAAATGTCGGAATATAACATTATTTTTTCCGGGGCTGACCTGCGTGGAGGGCCAATGACAGCTTATTTGAAATTTAGCCTATATCCTCGTCCATCTAAACATTTGTTTAGCATTATCATAAATAGATTTATCATTTCATAATTGATTTTGAAAATTATTCTTAATCTATAAAGCATTTAACATGTACTGCACCACGGATTTATGTAATATAAATCCGTGACTGCACTTAATTAACGCCGAGTAGCAGTTTGACAAAAATTTGATGTTTAGGAAATTAATGACACCAGTTAACTTTATATATTTCTATAAACATTTTTCACCTTGTTTGGTTACCTATAACAGAAAACAAAAAGGGGGAGGTCGATAACAAATATCTGGGATATATAACTAAATAAGTCTATGGGTGATTTTATTGGAAAATCTATAGGATAATCTGACCCAAAGATTTCCCTTGTCGACTTCCATATTTATGCGTCTGCGTTTTCGTCTATGCCAAAAAAAGATGGCTGCGCCCATGAGGAAGACACTAACGTTTTCAAAGTTATCTTGTCATCGTATATTTGGAGGTAAAACAGGGCTAGCCTGAATGAAATTTGTTGCTTATAACATATTTTAATATCAGCGATAATTGAGAGTAATATGTCTTCAGCCCCGCTGTCTGTTGACGGTTAATTTGGAGATGTAAACAAATTTGACATTGACCACAGCCACAGGAGCTTGACAATAGTTGAAAAAGAAATATTAGCAAATAATTAATAAATAGCGGTTAATATACCCCCTCTTTAGATTGATAAACACAAGGAATGCAACGCAAGGCAAGGCACTAAAAATGTTCACTGATACTGATATTCATTTTCATATATTTTCTAAAAATATTGTTTTAGGAAGTGGCTAGCCGTACGGGCCCGTACGGCTAGCCAAAAGTTCTAGCCGTACGTGAGTCACGTACGACTAGCCAGGACACACTGTATTGGCTAGCCGTACGGCACTTTTCAAAAATATATGGAAGGCGAAAGTGCATGTGTTAATTATGATTTTAAGCGAGGGTTTTAGTCAAGAATGTTTACTTTTTAGAGATTAATCAAGTTATCGACGTGTTGGCTACAGTAAAGAATTTACTTTGTCATTTCAAGACGTCGAGAAAAAATAGCGTTTGGTTGCAGTTAAATAACATCAATTGAAATAGTTTACAAAATTTGATAATAATCCTTTTTTGTTTCATTAAGTTAAATTTTTAAACTGAAAAAAAAAACAAAAAAAAAACACCTAAAATAATTGTTGTTGGGCTCTGATAATTGCGTCAATTACCAACGGTATAGAAATTTGTCCATTGTCCATCATTAAGAAAAGTTTGCATTATTAAATTATTTTTCCTTTTCACCGTTTTTTTTTTTTAATATTCTTTTTATTTATTTATTTATTCCCCTCCGATCATTATTTATTCGATCCATGTGCTTAATTAACATATTAAACAATTCATCTTTCATACAAATCATAAGCATGAAAATTAAGGACGTTATAACATGCAACTTTGACACTCAATTTTATTAAGATAGATTATACAACGCTTACTCGTATTCATTTTTTTGTGCAAAAATTGCGGAGCATCTTTAATTAAAGTGAACACACTAGGACAAATGCCGAGATTTGATTAAAATCGTTGTTTAAAGACACAAAATAACAAATGCATTTTCGACTTCCATATAATTTTGAAAAGTGCCGTACGGCTAGCCAATACAGTGTGTCCAGGCTAGTCGTACGTGACTCACGTACGGCTAGAACTTTTGGCTACGTACGGGCTAGCCACTTCCATTGTTTTATTGATTAAAAATGGCACATTGAATCCTTAGAGGTTCAAGAACTGGTTTGTCCACCATATATATTTTCAGTTGTTTTATTTATTGCAATATTTCAAATGTAGTCTATCAGCTTATGGTCTTCAGCCAACCCTTTACATACTAAGACATGGCGTGAACGGCAATCTCCTGGATTAGACCCCAATGTATTTTTCAGGTCTAAAACTTGTATATACAGTCATGTCCGGTGATCTTGCGCGGCCGGTGATCTTGCGCACTCGACATTTCCTTTCGTTTGATTGTTTGTTTATGCTGTCGCTAGAAATTTTCAGCCAAAATTTGTGACTTGGACTTACTTTGAACTACAACAAGGTACAAAAGTTAAAAAAAATATCTGTCAAACATGTTTGTTTACATTATTTCGTCATCCTGATTATTTATTCATAAACACGCCCACTGACCTATTTTCCCATTATATTCCTGTCTATTCATCCAGTTCCAAAATTTTATGTCCAGCAAGAATGAAAATCAATATCACAGATTTTAAAACAGTATTGCACCGATAAAACGTTGTAAATTTCTTTTTTTCCATTTGCAAATAAAGGTGTATTCAGTAACTGTTGTTATCTCCTGCCGATTCCCGCCATCTTGTCAAAATGGAAAGCCCCTCCCGCGCTTTTCAATTTTTTTTTCTCCGGAAGCGTAAAAGGGTCATCTTTTACAAAATTTGAAAAGAAAACAAATGACTGAAACAGAACAACGATTTCAATCATAAAAATAAAATTTAAAAAGTAAGATGGTAGTGATGATTTCAGGTGTCCCAGGTGTAGTAGTGAACAGTAAAATAACAAACCCTTGATGTAAATAAGTTTGTGTTACAGTTTTTTTTTTAACTGTTTGAACAGTTTAAATTAACTTTTCATTAACTGGACTCACAAATTTTATATTGATAGTACTACTGGGACACCATACTTTAAAAACGAGCTACCGTGACGTCATTCATAACACATGCGCAAGATCACCGGACAATTGAATGTTGGGATTAAACATGGTGTTAAGTGTTTACATTGTTGCACTCTTGCAGTTCAATGAGTTATTTCCAAAAAATATTTGTGTTATTATATGTCTTTAAGATTTTTGCAAATAGGAAAATAATTATGATTTTTTTGTATTTATTTGAATCGTAGAAAATTAGCCGATAAGTGCTTAGGTGCGCAAGATTACCGGACAGCATTGTAATACACTAAAGAAAACGGAATGAACCTTATATATACTCCTGGTTTAGACCCCGGGGTCTAATCCAGGATATAGCCGCGTGAACACTGAAGACAGATCTTTAGCACAGGGGTAGAACCCCTTTTGTATCTCAAAAATGAGCATTGGTAAAAATTATATGTGAATTTCCAGATGTGACTGTAAAAATAGGTCAATCGCAGGGTAAGTTTTCATCTTTTTTAACATTTATATAAAATTCAATCCTTTATTTAAGAAAATCGAAATGTGATTCTACCCTCCTGACTCTTCTCTATATTACCCATTTTTGTTTTGGATTTCTATGCAGTCTTCATGGAGATATTCTTTCAGTTGTGGGTTCTGGTGTGTCCAAAACATGCAATGTGAATAAAGAAAATCACAGACACTTAGGGTGTGGAGCTTAAAACGCCTTTAAAATCCTAATAAAATGTATATTTGTCAATACCAGCTCATGTACTGATCATATATATCAAAAAAACTTAATATATGCCGTTTTGAAAAAAATTCATATTTCAACGTCTATAATAATACACAAGATAAAACTGTTCGCCGGAAAAAATCCGCACACCTACCGTCAACATCACCGTGTATATAATTCCATTTCCAATATTTTCACATAATCTTTTGGTCCATCGACACAGAAGATATAAGTCTTCAAGTTGATTGTCAATTTTAAACTTCAACGGTAATATAAACAATGCAACAGCCGAAATAAACATCATGATTATCGCCGTTTTACTCCATTTACAAAATCTTTCGATAAATTCAAACATGGCCCAGCTTTGCCGTGTACAAATACGTCCAGCTTTGAAGTATGGGAACCAACATATTACCGAATAGCCGACTGGTGCGCAGCGCATTTTGCACACGGCAAGCTGGGGCCACGTTTGAGATAAATGTTTAAATCAGGATTTGTCTGAATGTTAAGCATCGGTCTGTAGTGAGATTTCATAAAATCTCTGGTTTATGAACCAGTTTAGTGACATTTTCTTCATTCACATTGCATGTTTAAGAGTCTAAGACACACCAGAACCCACAATGGAAAGAATATCTCGATGAAGACTGCATAGAAATCCAGAACAAAAATGGGTAATATAGAGGAGTCAGGAGGGTAGAATCAGATTTTAATTTTCTTCAAAAATGTTTTGAATTTTAAATTAATGTTTAAAAAGTTGAAAACTTACCCTGCGATTGACCTATTTTTACAGTCACATCTGGTGTTATGCTTCACATCTGGTGCAGCAGAAATTCACATATAATTTTTACCGATGCTCATTTTTGAGATACATATGGGGTTCCACCCCCGTGTTTAGGAAAAGTCAACCAATAATTGTGGCAGGAATATGACATGTTTGTATTCATACATCCAACTAGCTTTAAAAGGTCTTCAGCCTACCCGTTTATATAATATGTCACAGGTCGATACGGCTAGCCAAAAGTTCTAGCCATATTGTCGAGCCGTACTAGGGCATTTTTCAAAATTATATGAAAGTCAAAAATGCATATGAAAATGACAATATGACAATGAAACTATGTGTATGAGGCTGTCATTGCAGTAAGCTATTTTTACATGGAACCCTTATTCAAGAATAATAAAAAACAAGTCACAATGGGGATTTTATCAGTAAATGCATGTTTTCTTCTTCATTAATGTGTATTATGCAAATTCAATGTTTGAGTTTAATATTTATCACAAAGGACCGTGGCATCATAAATATGTGTTCATTATTTACAGGTATTGGAAGCGTTAGGGCAGCTAGTAACCGTTACGACAAAGACAGAACTCCAGCTCAAAGACAAAAGGTTAGTCCTGAACATATAGAGAAGACTGCAGGGCCATGGAAAAACTATACAGATTTGAATGCATGGAGAAGACGTCCAAGACATAGTGACTCAACGCCTTACGACCCACAAAAAGTCACAAAGCTATTGGAGGAAATAGATTTCTCTACTAAGGATGACATGGTGAGTGAAGTTTTGATCATTGTTTAAGATAATTTTCAGGATATGATGTCAGAACTGGTATTGAATGAGGTGTCAGACATGTCAGAACTCTGGTATTTTTTTTGGCTTCTTATTCCCAATTGAAAATAGTGTATTATTTTCCCAATCCATCTAGGAAAAAATTTCTAAAATCTTTGAAAATAAGGGCTTCTTCACTGTTATTGTGCTAAAATGTTTGAAGATGCCATTCTAGACATTTACTCTTTGTATTCATTTAATTTTTGAAAACTTTAAATCATGCATTTTTTCCCAATTTTTAAACAAAACATCGCTGAAATTCCCACTTCCAAGGTATGGGTCATGTTCCCAAAATCCTGCAAAAAAAACCCTGGAACTGTCTTGGTGCTTAAATTCTTTAACGGTGAGATGCGATACATATGTAACTAGCTTTGTATTAAATCTTTTAAGATGAACTGTAAGAACCCACTCAGGGATAATCCTGTTATATTGTGATGTCAGAATTTGTTTATATTATAGTTTTTTTAATAGAGTAAGTTCTTATTCCTGAAACTGTCTATCAGTCTATGTTAGCCTTCCTGTCATGGTGGTCACTTTTTGATATGCATGATTGATCACACATTTTGTTGCTATTTTAAGCCTCACTTTGTTTCTATTTTTAGCCTATAGATATTCCAGATCCATATGAAGAAAAACCAAAGCGTTGTATTCTATGCCAGCACAAAGTTGAAGTGTCTTATAAGGTATGTATCAAAAATGTCATAAAGTGGTTTAAGTGCACAGCTGTTCAAGGTATAAGGGGAGCTTTCCAACACAACCCAGCAGTCTGTCACTTTCAGAAAGATCGGTAGTTAGTTATCCGGGAAAGCCATTATGCTCCTTTTGTTCTGAATTGGTTACATAATTATTTAAAATGGTTTACAATTATAATGGTCATTGACCAATAATTTATAATGAAAAATGGTATATTATCAACTGCCTTAAATTTAAAGAGACTGTGCCACTCTCATTCAAGGTACATATACATTTCCAAGCATATTTGAGTTGTGTCACGACAAAACCAAGGTAATGTGTTTGCGACCAGCATGGATCCAGACCAGCCTGCACATCCGAGCAGTCTGATCAAAATCCATGCTGTTCGCTTACAAACCCTATTACAAGTAGATTAACTGATAGCAAACGGCATGGAGCCTGATCAGACTGCACAGATGCGCAGGTTGGTCTGGATCCATGCTGGTGGCAAACCCACTATGTTGGTTTTGTCATACCATGGCTCATTTGCAGAATTTTCTGTGAGTCACAATAGTCTCAATGGTTATTGATTTTACACATGAACTAGACAATTATGACAAAATCTAAAGGTTTTTTTTGACCTGTTATTTTATTGACTAATTACATATTCATTGAATTATTAACCAGTGAAAGTAACACTTGCTTAGTCTAAATAGAAGACATTTACAGTTAAACTTTGTTCGCTCAAACTCTAATCTCTCGAATACATTTGTAACTCCCTTCGCTCAAGGTCATCGCCTAGTCCCAGCAAAGTTCCTGTATGATATATATTGTTCTACCTAGGATCGCTCTAATTCCGATTGCACAAAATCTTGAACATGATATCTGGTCCCTTCGGCAGAAATATAGTGAAAATATAACAAAAATTGCGGGTCAACATCAGTTCTGAATTAGTGACAGCTGGCCACACATGTTTTCAACACCTTGTGATTGTGATGAAGGCAATTTAAGGTTAATTGATACAAAATAAGAGATGTTGTAACAGACATGTTTGTAAAGGTAATATTGTTTATATGCCGTCTTTAGTAAGGATAAAAAGAAACTAACTCATGAAATAAGTAAAATGTGCAAAGGTCAATAAAAGACGTTTACACGGACGGCTTCTATTACAGACACGGAATAAGTAACAAGTACTGTAACTATGTTATCTTTTTATAGTAATGATACTTGTACATGTGTTTATTTTAGTTAATGACTACAAAAAGATGCTGCTGTAAAATGATTTTATTTAAATATTTTATTTATTAATTCTTCAAAATATAATTTATCCCAGAATAAACATATGAATATGTTTTGAACAGGTTTTGAAAATGTTTGCCCAATCAAACTCTGAACCAATTACAATATGCATGAATATAGATTAACACAGTGTACCGTTAATACTCATTTGTTAATATTTACAAGAAATGACATATTCCACGAACTGATGTACTAACAAACAATTATGTTGAATGTTGAATTATTTATCATTCGACAGATGTAAGCTGGAAAAACCTTTAGGCCTTTGTCCTATGTGATAATAGTTCAACCTCCGTTGGCTTGCACTACCGATCTCTCGAACACATTTGTACAGGCCCTACAAGTTCGAGCAAACAAAGTTTGACTGTATTGCAAAAAATAATGGAAGCAATGATATTTTTCTGGTTTTTAAGGAAATTTATACACATTTTGGTGGTTAGCCCTGTCAATCCGTTCACCTCACTAGCTTTTCTGGATAACTAGCAGTAATTACCAATTGCTCCACGATTGATTTACTTCATGCATAAATACAGCATGATTTCTAAATCAGCAGTGACAGACACACAAACATTAGATTAAATGTCCAGTAGAAATTTTGCCTTGCCAGAAAATTGGACCAAGGACCCCTGGATTACTTATGCAATACTCCTCCTATTGAGCTAAGTGAGTGGACTTTATAAATGATGAGAATTTTGAATTGAATCAAAATACCACTAGTTTGGAGGAAGAACATCAGCTCTTTCTTTTAACTATTTACAGATATCTTGTATATAGACACCATGCATGGATTTTTGCATGGGACTTAGATTTATGCAGTATGGTACCTCTTTTGATTTACACAATGACTATGACATGCTGGGCATCAGTGGCTGAGTGTTTAAGGTCATGGACTTAAAACAGCTTGCCCCTTATCGCTGCTTCAAAACCCGACAGGGATTTTGGATTCTTTCATGTAAGGAGGCTGTCAAGCTAGCTTAGTGAGCGTCGGTGGTTCTACTTGGGTGCCTGTTTGTGCCTAAAATTATGCTTCTGAGGTCTTCTTCCACGAGGAAACCTGAAAGCTGAAACATTGCTATAATTATGACCTATATGTATATTGTATTTGTGACGTAATAACCCCCCCTCGCCCCCCCCCCACAAAAAAAAAAAACAACAACAAAAAACAAACAAAAACACACAACATGACCATAAGTGAACAGCAGTGGTGTCCGTAATAAACATTGAATTTCATAAAACAATTCAAACAAACCAACATCCTAGAAAATAAATTTACATTTGTCTATTCTTTCAGAATACGATTTTCTTGTGTAAAATTAAAAAAAGGATCCATTAAAAATGCCAAAAAATGGTAAAATTGAATATATGTAAAACATTTTATTCCATTATGGCATTCTTGAATATAAAAAAGTGGACAAATATTTTGTTTCTCATATTTTCAGAACACTCAGTTGTTGAGTCAGTTTGTTTCCACATATACAGGAAGAATTTATGGACGGCATGTGACAGGACTATGTTATCATATGCAGAGAGAAATAGCACGAGAAGTACGGAAGGCAAGAAGATTTGGTAAGATACATAATCATGCAAAAAGAAAATGCACTTTTTATACTCCTGAAAGTGTCTATTGGCAACTTTTTGTCTGATCTTTTTAAATGGAAGGAAAACCCTTTTTTAAATTGATGGAAGGAAAACCCTTAACCTGCTGAATTTCTTAAATGGACTTGTCCAGATTCCATTTTTGGACTGGTCCATTATCAATAATAGGGATGTCAATATGAAAATTTAAACTTTCATCAACCTACAGTATAAAGCCTGGTCAGATTGCACAGAAGTACAGGTTGACCTTGCTCTATGGAGGGCTTTCGTGGCCAAAATTCCAGACATGTAAGTGTTCCTTTTAAAAATTACTTTTAAAAATGCAAACTTGTATGCCTACCATTTTTTATTGTATCCGTGCATAGCTCTTAAACCAATCTATAAATTGAAGGTTCCCGCCTTTATAAAACAAGTTTACATATAGATCATAACAACTTACCTTACATGGAAAACAACAACAAATTTACAAGTTTGTATCTTCCATTGCTTACAAAACATATGCAAGTTTTCACACTTACAGAAATCTATCTGTACCTGAAAAATACAAATAAATGTAAAACTCGAATGCTGAAAAAAAAGAGTTTAAGAAAACGTGTTTCCAGTGATAGAACTACAAGAGTACGTTTACACAGTAACAAGTTTAAGATAACAAAAGTAGATTCACAAAGTTAAACGATTTTAAGTCATGCATGACGCCCCATACCTCTTTGAGTATTTACGAATATACATGTATATACACCTATAAGTGTGCAAATTTGCTTATGTATTATTATGAGCTTGTAAATTTGTTGTTGTTTTCCATGTTTTGTCAGATCTACATGTAAACGTGTTATTTAAAAGAGTATGCTTTCGATTAAAAGATTGGATTTAGAGGCATATCATTTGCTGTGCACGAAATTCCAATACAATCAAAAATGCTAGACATACACGTTCGCATTTTCAAAAGTATTTTTTTCAAAAGGAACACTTTACATGTCTGAATTTTCGCAATGAACGCCCTCCATAAAATGCCAGCTGTGTAAGGGTTAAAGCAGACTTCAGCTTTGCTTAAGGTTAAATATGTTATATTTAGATAATTTGTTTTATAGTGATATAATTGTTAAATCAAAAGAATTTAGGTGGTAATGATTTGTCGAGAATAGATATATGAGCCATGTCATGACAAAACCAACATAATGGGTTTGCGACCAGCATGGATACAGACCAGCCTGCGCATCCGCGCAGTCTGATTAGGATCCATGCTGTTCGCTTACAACCCTATAACAAGTAGAGAAACTGATAGCGAACAGCATGGATCTTGATCAGACTGCGCGGATGTGCAGGCTGGTCTGGATCCATGCTGGTCGCAAACCCATTATGTTGATTTTGTCATGACACGGCTCATATAAACAATATGGATGCCTCTAATCTACTGGTCCTCTCTTTATGTAAATTAGTAAAGTGGAAAATTCATTTCTAGACATTCTGTTTTTAGAAACGAATGACACTGACACGGTATAATTACTGTAGTTCTCAGGAAGCTGTTTTGAAGAAGGCTTAACAATGATATTATGGACTTTTTCAAGATAAAATTATTGAAATACATAGTTCGAATCGACACAGAATTGTTTTCCAACAGTAAATAAAAGCTGAAGCCTGCTTTAACACACTTCTAGATTTTATTTAACTTTCAAATATTTTTGTTCATATTTGAACCAAAGGAAGAAAACCTAAATAATTTGGCAGATAAGTTAACCATAATGAGATAATGTGCAGATCAGAAGTTTGAACTGCTTCATCTGAAAGTCAAGGTCACAGTGACAAATGTGAATCATTCTCATTGTAGTTCTTTTATCAAAAATGATGATTGATAACATTGGAGTACTTTATAATATATCATGCAGAAGCACATTGGAGTATGTTATAATATAACATGCAAAAGCACATCAGAATACTTTATCATATATCATGCAAAAGCACATTGCAGTACTTTATTATATAATTATCATGCAAAAGCACATTGGAATACCTTAAAATATAACATGCAAAAGCACATTGGAATACTTTATAATATATCATGCAAAAACAGTGCACATTGGAGTACTTTATAATATGTAATGCAAAAGCACATAGGAGTACTTTATAATATGTAATGCAAAAGCACATGATTGTGTATGTAGTATAACCAGGACCCAAGTAAAAACAAAACAAATTAAAACTACTACAATGTCCTGTTAAAAGTTATGCAAAACATAGTTTATGATACAAAAATTCATCCATCGATTTTTGCAGATCATAGTGCTCAGAAAAATTTCAAGTAACAATTTAGGATCATAACTGTTTGTAGCTTGAAACTATTGAAATGACATAATTTTTTCCAATAAGAGTAATCATTCACCTTAACATTTGGTACCAAAATATCAAAATTTGGTGAATAATTGCACTTTGATGAGTGTTGGAATAGGAGCTGAATACCTTGTTTGAATTATTAGTTACCTTATCTTTTAACAGAGTTATTCCCCTTTTCTTACTGACAAGCACTGTGTGTGCTGTCATATATTATACAGCACCAGTTGTATACAAATATGGCTTATAAAGGCAGTCAGTTATTATCATTATCTCTTGCATTTTCAGGTTTCATGCCAAGGTTGTACAAAGAACCCAAATATATGAAGGATCCTGCTTTGTTCAACCCCTTCCAGAAGAAAACATACCCATATGGACAATAATTCTCGTTTTGTATAATTTTGTAAATTTTTATTGGATGATTTATTATTCAATACACAGTTTACTGTTATGATGTAAATGCTTCAAATATATGAATAAAAACACACATTTGTATAGTAATTTTATTTCTTATAAACAAAAACATAGTTTAATTTATTATGTCTAAAAGCTTTATGTCTCTAGACTTGTCAAAATATTTTGAGAAAATCAAACTTGAGAAAAGCATACTATTATCTTAAAAACAGTAAAAAGATTCAAGTAATAAACTACATGTTATATGCTACATTAATGACTGATTTTTCAACACTTCTCACCATATTTCTACCATGTGACAAACTTGGAAATACCTTATCAATTCAGCGTGTGACAAATACTATGGATTGCTGTTTCCACTAACTTACTATGGAGTTATTCACACACCCCCTATGTTCCTACGGGCCTGAATTGATATAAAAAAGACATGTGTGCATACATAAAAGCAACAAATTAATCATGTTGCAAACACTTCTTAACCTTGCAAAATCATGTTTCTGTTACATATAAGAGGTATGTAACTGCTATCCTGATTATGTAATTTAAAATTCCCCTCCTCATTGTACCTCATTATACAAAATGTTCTCGTTTGACAGTGATTATTTTTTCCACATGACACAAAAATGCAAATCTTTTATATAAGGCAAAGGGCTTCTTCATCTTTTAACTAATAATATTTTCAATTATAAATTTAATTGTATATGTCATCGTCGCGATGTAACTCGATGTTAAAGGTAACTAATCTAATCAAAGCACAGAAGGCGCTGAATTTGTTTGGGTCTCAGAATGTCAGAAAGGTGAAGCTTGTGAGATTATAAACCAATTTGTTTGTATAGTGTCACCAATGCTGTTTTCCAGTGCTATAGTAAATTGGCTATAAGACTAATTGCAACAGTTATATTCAATTCAATGTTTATTTGACTTGAAAAAAAAAACAAACAAAAACCTGAATTGTTATTTGAACTCGAGACCTCTCGCTTCCAAAGCGAGCGTGTAAACCCCTCGACTATGGGGAGTTATAAGATAACAGCCTGAAGAATACCATATTATTCTTAATTACAGTTTGTAACCCTTATTAATTTTGATATATTTTGTTCACGGTAAACCTGTTGTTTAACACTAATTTAAAAAGTAAATAATCATGGAGCTGAATCTATAAGAATAACACAACATTAGAAATCTTCGACCAATCGGGAACTATTTTTGCGTTACAAATATAAATGCGCCTGTCATTTGACAATCTTTACGCAGTGATCACCCCTTAATTTTTTGGCGTTAATGTAAAGAAGGGAAGTAACCACTTTGAGGAGTTTGGACTACTTTGGGCTTTGCAAATAAGAACATTAAGATCTGAAATTTTGCTACCATTATTTGTTTGGTTTGATGACCCAAACAAATAAAAACCAAATCCTAGGTATGTTGGCCGAAGTATTATGTAATTATTGATCAAACTTTGGTGGTCATTCTCTGTGACCTTTGACCTATTTAACTTAAAAATCAAAGATATCCTTGTCTAGTCATGACCACCCTCCTCACTTTGATATTAGGAATGCAGACCAAAGCTTCTTTTGAAATGGAAATGTCAATTTTGTGCCTTACATACCTCTAAACTCATAGTGGTCAGCTACTTATCATGACCAACTGCCCTACACAATTTCAAGACTAGGCACAAACATTCTGCAAGTATTGGCTGAAAGTTGTTTTGTGGTATTAATAAATTCTTTCTTTTATAATCATACAAGAAACTAGCATACTGTAAAGGACCACTAAGGCTCCCTTGTTGGTCATTGGGGGTGGGGGGGGGGTGAGTAATTCAAGCGGTTTAAGTGATTACAAGTCGGTAAGTTGTCAGATAAAGCAATCATAATATTTGTTACTCCCTGAATTGATAAACAATCCATAGTATTTGTCACTGGCTGAATTGATAAGCAATCATTAGTATTTGTCACTCGCTGAATTGATAAGCAATCCATAGTATTTGTCACTGGCTGAATTGATAAGCAAGCCATAGTATTTGTCACTGGCTGAATTGATAAGCAATCATTAGTATTTGTCACTCGCTGAATTTGAATAAGCAATCCATAAGTAATTTGTCACTGGCTGAATTGATAAGCAAGCCATAGTATTTTTTTCTCTGGCTGAATTGATAAGCAATCTTTAGTATTTGTCACTCGCTGAATTGATAAGCAATCCATAGTATTTGTCACTCGCTGAATTGATAAGCAATACATAGTATTTGTCACTCGCTGTATTGATAAGCAATCCATAGTCTTTGTCACAGGCTGAAATGATAAGCAATCCATAGTATTTGTCACTTGCTGAATTGATAAGCAATACATAGTTCCTGTCACTCCCTGAATTGATAAGCAATCATTAGTATTTGTCACTCGCTGAATTGATAAGCAGTCCATAGTATTTGTCACTCTCTGAAATTATAAGCAATGCATAGAATTTGTCACTCGCTGAATTGATAAGCAATTCATAGAATTTGTCACTCGCTGAAGTGATAAAACTTTTTTCTCTAAAATTGAAATTTTACACAATTCTTATACATGTATTTACATTATATACTCGTCGTGAAGTAGCTTTTAATACGTTACTCGCGTTCAACCTTAGTGCAATGAACTGCTCTGTGGGTTTACAGTTAAATTATTATTAGTCCCTTGAATGTCGGGGGGGGGGGGGTGGGGGGGGCAAGCATTCTAAATGGAATATTGACTACAATCTAGAGGACAGCCTTGATGAGCGTCAATACATGTAACTTCACGAACTTGAAAATCTATGCATTTTCTCTCGGGTAACTGCATGCATACAAAGGCGTTTATTGATCAGCAATACAGTACCTTATTTTAGTTTCTTTTAGATATTTATAATAATACATGTAGGATATTAGTGAATGAGTATTTCAAAGCGCTTAAATTGTACCTTATACAATTATCGTTCTTATTAAATAGCATTGCATGGGTTTAAGTTTGAAACTTTCTGAGAACCCCACACACCCTCCAAAAACAATTTAGTTTCTCACCCCATCGGAAAATGCTTTCTACGGGCCAACACTTAAAAACATCAACACTAACGTTCTGTATAGAGTTTTCGTCAATTCTATGAGGTTAATATACATTGTTGAAATCAATACTGAATTATATTGGATGAGTTAGCAGCTGTCAAACCTATATTGGACGAGGTGCTAGATGAGTCTGATACAGGTTTGCAGCTTTGTACGAGTCCAATAAAATCATTACTGATTTTAACAATGTAATTTAATAAGCTTTAAATTTCACACCACCTTTTTTACTTGAAGTGCAATAAGTTTTTGATGTGAGTTTTTTTGTCAGAAATACGATATGTATATTTTGATATAGATAGTCTGAAAATTAAATTGAGGCTATATGGAATACGATATGATTTTGATACGGATTTTTTGTTGTGAATCCTTAAAATGTAAACGAGGCTTAACTGATAATATTGGATCTGATAATGATTTCTATCCGAACATGACATGGAACAAACGCTTAATGTGCCTTGGTTATATTTTATTATGTTTGACATTAATAGAGGATATTAAATTGGTGTAGATTCAATACTGAATTTATTGAACATATTATATAAAATTATCCGAGGGGCATATCTTAATTAGTGGCAACGGCAGCGCATTTTTATAAATAAGTCATACTCGTGAAAAAATGAGTAGAAAAGTCCTTCAAAATATTCACCATGGAACTCAACACACTTTTTCTGCCTCAGAATCCATTCCGGAAAAGCATTCTTGAACTGCTTTTTTGTTGTTTTTTTTTGTTTACTGTTTATACACCGGACGAGAGCGCTTCCGACGGCACTATGGGTTTCGAACCGGCGGCCGGGAAAGGGAAAAAGGTTTGGAGAAATGGTTTTTAAACCCAAAAGCCCAAAAGGAGACAGGTTTACGATTATAAGGGGGGATGTAGAAAAACCTAAATCTGCTCCTCAAATCAGTTTAAACCCAAGGCTGCCCGGGATCCCGAAATGTGCATTATCTTTGGGTTAAGAAAGATTTTTCGTACCCCGGGACTTTGGGTTCTTTGTAATGATGAATTACAGCAATAGGAACATGGTCTCGGTAGAAAGTTCCAGTGACGATATTCCTCTCTGGCACAGCAACATGGGCCACTATTCCATCACTGTCAAAAATAGAGCGTACGTAATGTCGAGCAATAACTGGGCGATCGCTGTTTTCACCTACCCGTATTTTGATACGGAGTTTATCGTCGGTTTCAAAAAAAGTGAACTAAATAAAGCCAAGTTTCATCCTCTGTGGCTATTTATCTCAGGCGTCTAGGGTCTCGATCTTTGAACCTAATCAATAAGGCCGAGGTTTTTTTTTTCAACCCGCTCCCTTTCTGATCAGCAAATGCGAGATCAACTCCTTCCTTAACTTTAACTTTTTTTTCAAGATTCAAAAACACACATGATGCACTGAGGCTCGGTATGTCACTTATCTTCTCCAAAGTGTATCTTGCATTTTTATCAACTATGGCTTTGACGGTGCTGTGTTTTTTTCAGTGGTAGCGGAAATTTGCTTCCCAGTGTGGGGATCATCCTTAACATTTGTTCTACCTTCCTGAAACATTGACACCCACCTTGCAATTGTACGATATGGAAGGGCATAACTAAATCTAGATCTTTTTTTTTCTGACGCGCATTTACCCAATAGCCCACGAATTTTGCTCTTTGCTCTGCTCTTAAATCACAATGCAAATTACCAGTATACAAAACCATATTTTTAAATGACATACTAAAATTTCATCGCACTTACAAATCGTACGAAAATGGACTGTTGGTTTGAAAAATCAAAAATCTTTCCAACGGTATATTATGCATGTATTTGCATCAAATCGCCACTAATTTACATATGCTTCTCGTATTATGCAAGCCTCTGGAGGGAATAAGTACATTATGATCATTAAATGATAAAACTACAAGAAAGAAAATGGGTTGTGTTGGTGTACAATCTTTACAATATATGGCGAAAATCAGTTTATTGCATTATAGTTGCGATACTTTCATAAATCGTTTAGATTTCTGTTATTTAGATCTTAAATAAC